CTGCTCGACGCTCGTGTTGTTGTTGTGGTGATGATGGCGATGACGGTTATGGTCGTTATTGGGTTGCTTCTCTGACATGCTGCTCAATTTCTGGCATCATCAAGGAGGATGGGTGTGGTGCCGGGCGACGCATGCAACCATGAAAATGGTGACGGAGAAAGCGAATCTAATTATGAAGGCTATCTATGGCCGTTTCTCGCTTCTTATGCCACCTTTTGGAACACCAGAAAACAGTGCCCCCATCTTCGTGTTCACACTGAATGGGCGCACGAAAGGGAAGTAGTGTTGGAACATTCAATAGTATTACAAAGGATAATGCTTAATAGTTTCGTTAGAGCATCAAGTAAATGAGCTGTATAATACTCATTAATAAATGAATTAGAGATATGACCATATATGTAGACAAAAGTATTGGATCTTTTCTGAAAATGAGAATTGCTTTTGGGAAGATGAAATGAACGATACAAGGTATTGTCCTACTTGTCAGATATGTCGTGATTTAAGATACTTTCGTAGCCTAAACAAAAACAAAGAGTATAATAACTTATGTAGGACATGTTTAAACAGTATGAATGGTTTTAAACGCAAAATTGTAAAAACTTGTGAAAGAAGGTTTAGCCCAAAACTTTTATATAGTTTTACGTACGAGCGATATAGATGATGAAGTAGTCAAGCCAATCAAGCGCATTAGCAGTCAACAGATTTTAAAGCCGTTTGAACTTATGGAGAAAAGACTGATGAACTAGTTGATAAACCCAAACAAGTTAGAGCAAAACAATGGATGAAAATGGCGATGCTTATAAGGACAAGAAGCGTATATGTTAATAAGTTGAATAACAGGGATATTAAGCTTCCAGAAAAGAGACATTAGAATATTATGAGATTTATATTCGATGACCAAGAGAGAGCATATTAGATATCTTATTCTACGAAAAAAACATAGTTTACAAAAAAGACATTTAAAGAATTGAAAACGTATATACCAATGCCAGAAGCATCCGGATATACAACCAACCAGGAAATATCTAGAATCAGAAATGTTCTCACCTGAACGTGATAAACAGAGAAGTTATGAATACATTAACCGACAATCTACCACATGGAGAGACCTGTATGATGACGACTTATGTAAGGAATGGAAAGCTATGTGTGAAATTATAGACGGAAGAACAGTAGATACTATGAGAAGAGAAAAGCAACAAGACAAGACGAAGGGAACATACCTTGATAGCTATTCTTCACAGTAATTATTCTATGTCGTGCCATTCAAGCGACAGGGTTATAATCTTTTGGGCATTTTCTAGTAGGGTCTTACACCACACCTCATATTGGAATATTGGGTATTTTATGCATAAGATTCTGGGGTTTGGAGGTAGTTATGGTTTAGGGTTGGGTTTTGGTAGTGCTTTGTAGTTTTGCGGGGTTTAAGGGTTGAAATGTTAGGCGGGTTGAGAACTGGGTTGAAAGCGTAGGGGGGGTATAGGATGTGAGGCGTGGGGCTAGCATCTGCTTGCTGAAAAGCCTTTCGCATGTCTCAGAGCACAGACAAATCGTTGTGGTACTGAAACCTAGGCGCTCCAGCCCGTAGCCGTCATCGCAATATAAAATTAGGTACGGTATCCTGGCAAGACTATGCAAGCGTGTAATTCGTAAGTTCGCTCGTTTCCCGGCTCATGAAGAACATATTTTCCCCGCCCCTTGCCGGTTCTGGTACCGAGAGCTGAAGGTGATCTACCCCATGTCAACGTCTCACAGACTTTGGCCTTGAAACAACGGCTGGGCTGCAAGCCTTTCGCCTACTTCCTCCATCGCTTTCGCAAGGCCACGCCGAAGGTTCTACTTCTTTGTTGCTTCTTTTCGCTCAGAAGATTTCAGAAGCTGCTGCTTGAGAGATTGATTTGCAGGATTAGGCCAGTGCTCTTGTGCCTTTAGTTATGTTGTGCCCAGCCAACCAAGTCAATCAGCTTGCCCAAGCGGCCCTTACCGACATCCTACGGGCAAGGGCAGGGGACGTCAAATTTTGTGCCTAAACGCAGTTCTTGTTGCACGAAGCAAGCTTCAGGTAGAGTTTCACGAGACGGGGCACTTCGTGTAGTAACTGCATCCTGGCCGAGGCAATTGTCTAAACGTAGGCAGTCGGCTCGTTGACCGGATCCATCTAGAAAGGGTTTAGGGTTACCGCAATATCCCTCCGAAAAGCCCGAGAAGTTGACCTAAAACTGTGAAGCCTGCGGACAGATCTACCTGGACAGCGGGATGCTGCCGGAGCTTGTGGGAAGCTGAGTACATGCTCAGCAAGCTTTTGCCAGTCCCGCTGCAATGCTGGAAGCTATGCAGTTGCCGTGATAAGCCTGAGTTGCGGGGAGGTCGCGGGTTGCCTGCCGCATTCCTTTTGTTTGCCAGCCTAACAGGAACTCCTTGTCCAGCGAATGCTGCGAAATTGCAAAATTCAGACCGTCTGCTTAGGGCCAGGCCTCAATACGACACATAAACATGAAGACCCCTCCCAGCAAACGCGAAGCTGCCACTCTGTTGGGTATGACATGATGAGCTGGAAACCTCTCGGGCTTCGCCACCAAAAGCATTTCGGAAGATATTTTCGCAGTCACAGCATTGACCCTCTAAATATGACTTTATCTAGCACCACAAAAAAGCCTCTCACTAATTTTGCGTCATGCGAAACCTGCACCGGAGAACCAGGTCCCTCCTCGTCCGTGGGATCTTTATGTGGAAATTCCTTCGTGTGCCCAGTTTGCTTCCCTTTGGGGGGTTGCCCCCAGATTTCACGCCCACATTTGCATTTCAGTGAGGTGTTTCGCATTCGCAGCCGCAGCACTGGGCTCTGCCTCCAAAGACGAAACCGCGAATACGTTCTACATAACTGCCGCGGTCTCAGCTCGTGACCACAGGGCTTTGCGATGTTCTTTTTTGGCAAGACCTGCAACTCCGAGAAGCTGCAAGTCCAGCATCCATAGTCCCGATCATGTCAAAGGCTGGTGACGTGAGTTCTCCTAATCGATGCAGGCAGAGTGGAAGTTCTGACTTGTGGGTCATACAAGGGTCAAGCTCCCCCAACTCCCAAGCGCCAAAGCCTGAGGCTAATCCAGGTGCTGGACGCCCTCCCAGGAATGTTTGAATTCGAGACGCACATCCACCTACCCGGCCCCAAATCCCAATTCACTCTGAACCCGGAAACCAACAGCCTAAACCGCTCAGCTTTAAAGCCTCGTACCAAGCCCGAAGCCTTGAACCTGTACGTCCAAAAATGCGTCTCGGTACCCCAAGCCCGATCAACCCCAAAGCACTAAGCCCTAACGAAGGCATCCAAAGCGCAATTCCCAGCCCTTCACCCTAAAGGCTTAAACCTCGAAAGCATAAAGCTCACTACCAAAACCGTCAGGGAACCCGGGAGACAATGCCAAGGTCAGGCAGGTACCTGGTTCCACCGAGGCAACATGATCCCGGAACAGCCCCTCGGCCCGAAGCCTCTTCGTGTGTATTAGGGTTGAGTGGAGTAACAGTAGGAAATTATTGCTTAGGGCTGCTTTAGGGATCTGCGTGAAGCCGAAAACATCCTGGGCCTCAAATCCCTTCGGAGCCCTCGAAAGCTGCAAGAATCAAGCCGGGCTGTAAGCCTGCCCACCTGGGCAGCAGCTATGATACTCTTAGTGCCGAGCTATGATGATAGGAGTTGTAGTTGCAATAGTGAGTGGTTGATTCCCAGCTGATACCGGACTCGAGCCTGGGTTCAAAAAAGGCCCATAGCAGTTGCTGAAGGTTCCGCTTGAGGCTCAAGTTGCTCCTGTCGCAATGCGGCAACGTGGAAGGCCAACTTGGCCTTAAACCCACATCCCACTTCATTCAGCCTAAACCCTATAAACTCTAAGTGCTCCAGATGTGTGGGATTCCAGGCTACAGCTCGTAAAGCTTGAGAGATACAAACACCCCCAAACTTCTGGGACTTTCCCCCAACTCCCCGAACTCTTAACCCCTTAATCTCTATGTAATCTCTCAAACTCTACTAGTCCTCACAAAGCTGCAGCTCGATCAGATTCCCAACGCCCGCGTCCTTGGCGTCCCTGTCACCCCTGCCAAAGCGACAAGACAAGCTGGTGAACTGCGGCGGCCATCAGGCGCAGCGAGGCTGAACTCGGGAAATATCTTGCAAAATCTGTTAAGTTAACTGTGATGCTAGTCCTTTGAACGCAAGTAATTACGAGTAAATCAGATGCAGGCTTGTGTAATCACAAATGGCAGTGGTATGAACAGTGCTGATCGTAGTTGCAAGCACGCCGTCGATTTTTCATCGTAATCTTAAACCCTCAGCCCTAAACCGTTGACTAAGAAGCAAGACGAAGACCAAGTGTGAGTGCCATGTCCACTGCTCGGGACAAATTCTGGTAGTTCAGAAGCAGCAGTGGTAGTAGTAGTAGTAGTAGTAGTAGTAGTAGTAGTAGTAGTAGTAGTAGTAGTAGTAGTGGTAGTGGTAGTGGTAGTAGTAGTAGTAGTAGGAGTAGTAGTCGTAGTAGTAGGAGTAGGAGTAGTAGTAGTAGTAGTAGTAGTAGGAGTAGTGGTAGTGGCAGGAGTAGCAGTAGGAGTAGGAGTAGGAGTATGAATAGAAGCAGAAGTAGTAGTAGTAGTAGTAGTAGTAGTAGTAGGAGCAGTAGTAGTACGGTTGATGATATAAATCCTGCATTACCCATAATAAGGAATATACCATGATTCGCATAGTTTAGGGTCCTTGAGGTAATGCAGGATTTCCATCATCAACAGTAGTAGTAGTAGTAGTAGTAGTAGTAGTCGGAGCAGCAGCAGCAGCAGCAGGAGCAGCAGCAGGAGCACTAGCAGTAGTTAGTAACTAGTAGTAGCGGCAGGTGTTGGGGCCGCTGCACTGGGGAGCCGCATTCCAGGGGCTCACCTTCTTACAAATTCAATCCTGCAGCTTTTGGCTACGACGGGCAGCCTCAGGAAGGGCGGCTGCGACGCCTGCCCACAAGGGCATGGCCGGGGCCTCGGTACCTTTCTGCAGTGCCTTGCCGGGCTGGGAATTCCCGTAAACCCTAAACCCAGGTTGAATTTTGAGTCAACTCAGGGTTCGGGCAAAGGGCATTCCAGCTACTGCTTTGCCTGTCCAGGCAGTCAAAAAGTCACTTCTGACACTTCTGTTCAGCTTAGTTTGAGTGCACATAAAATTTAGCGATCTCGGGCTGGGCTATGCTTAGGTACACTGTGTGTTGTGCTACAACATGCTGCAGGCATTGGCAGTTCAACAAGAAGGTGTAATTTGTCCATGTCCGTAGTCTGGTAGCTTTCAAGCAGATAGCAATGCCAGGCTCTGCTGGGGTATTGTTCATTACTCCCTGGCATCGTGGTATGTGCCCAGGGTTCCCGCATTTTACAGTTATGCATGTCGTACTATGGAGATGTTGTGCTCAAAGTGTGCGTTTCTTCCTGAACGCTCCTGCGCCATAGGCTCCGAGTGGTGCAACGAGGCTTAGCTGCACATGACATCCGATCTGATTGAAGTTCACTGGAGCTAGCCTAAACCCTATACCCGAAACCCTAAACCCTTGCAGTGAGTTGCGAGAGCGAGAGCGTAAACCCTTGCAGTAGGATCCTGAGGGAGAGAGAGTCACCCCACACAGTCACTGAAAGTGTTGTTATACACACTTGTTGCTTGTACTTGACCGTCTCTCCTAGTGAAGTTTCACTCAACAGACTCCGAACCACATGCCTCGCCTGGATTGTCCGAGTGTGAGCGCCGAAACCTTAAACCGTAGATGCAGCGGCGTTCCCCGGCCCTAAACCCGACTCCCTACAGAAGCCAAGGCAGACTGCACCTGGGTCTTTGCCGTTTGCATGTCAGCGGATGATGCAAAGCAGGCTTCGGCTGCAACAGGGAGCCTCAAAAGGTCCTAGTCGTAAGATAGTAGATACGCGCAGGCTCCATAGTAGCTCCTTTTGGGGGCTCATATTTTAGAATCCTATAAGCTGCTCCCAAAAGGAACTACTATGGAGCCTATGGGTACTCGGTATATCAATGCTTGGGCCCCAAAAGTTTTTCCATTACATGCACCCTTTGAGCTCAGGATTTTACGGCTCCGGAGTTTGGGTGAAGTCTGATGTCGTGGTAGAGCACGGATTAGGCGACCCACAAGGCTGGCGATCTAGATTCTAGATCCTCAAGAGGGAACCTCGAAGCACCACCCTGTAGCGCCCCTAAAGGACTCCCTATAGATGCCTTAAAGTATCTTTCTACAGGCTGCACAAGATAGCGCTCCGCAATCTTCGATGCTCACATATCTTACATGACCCTGGAGCCTGAGCCCCTTCAATAACCCTAAAGCCCTACCTTAAACCCTGGACCCTGCTGTTGCATGCTTCATGTCAGGGGACTCTGCCTTGTGAACTAGGGCCGGCGTACTACTTGGCCTTAACTTCTTGTTGCGCTGCTGTCCTTGCCGGTCCTAGGTTGGAGGTGGTGCCGCAGTAGTGAGCAGCAGAGTAGCTTCAGTTAGTTGTGCACCCGAACACAGAGACCTCGACTGCGAGCCCGAGTTGCTGAGAGGGGAAGCCTGCTGCTAGTACTACTGCTACTGCTACTGCTACTACTACTACTACTACTACTACTACTACTACTACGACTACTACGACTACTGCCACTACTACACTGCTGCTACTACTACTACTACGACTACTAGCCCTACGCCCTCAAAGGTGGAGCGTCAGAAGCCGAAGACCTGCTGCTCTGGGATCCGAGAGTGGAACTCCCTGGACCTGATTTTTGTTCAGGGTTTGTAGGGTTTGGGTCAGTTTAGGGTTTTAGTGTTCTTAAGTGGGTATTTAGCATGTAAGAAGGGGTTGTTCAAGTTAGGGTTTAGGATTTAAGGATGTAGGTTGAGGGTTACGGGTTTAGAAGACCGCACCCGGGATGCAAAAAGGCTTGTGAGTTTCGGTTATTTAGGACATCCGCACACGTCCCCTCGGCCGGGCTGATTGGATAGAACTCCGGGTTCAAAAAGGGCTGAGGCTTACGCGTTCGGTTGGGATTTCGGGTTTAGTGACAGGGTTTATCAGGAGCCACTGTGGAGGCGGCCTCCTGGTAAATCATGTGACATAGGGTGTATACTAGTGTATACAGCTTGACCCCATGTTTGTGATCCACTGGAAGACCATAAGATGGCCGAGTCATCCGTTGCTGATGGAATTTCGGGTCATTCCTGTCCACACTCGAAACTGAGGCGTTCGAATCGGCGCAGTGTTCTGAAGCAATACTATATATGGGCTTCAAGAGAGCTGAGACGAAGCTTAAGGGGGGCTTGCGATGTCTCTTTCATCTCCCTTGAGTCCCTTCAGGGGGGTTAGAAATAAGCAAAAAGAAGACCCCGTTGATTCTTTTTCCTGAAGTCTCCGACCTTTCAGAGCGACTTAGCTCTCCAAGTCGCTTCATCTGTTGCCCAAAGCCCAACACTCGACTGCTATGCGGGTCACGACCTAGCCTCACAGAAGGCAAAAATTCAGACCTTGTCTAGCATTGTCCGAATGCGAGCATCAAAAAATAAACGTAATCGAGCTGATCGGTTCCGACCCATTAAGGTTTCGTTTCGGACAAGATAGATCAGCAGCTCTCCGGCTTTATGCAAGGCTACAATCGCTGTTTCTTCAGAGCTTCCCAAATAGAGAGCTTTTTCGTTTTCGGCTGCGAGTGGGATACAGTTTTGCAGCACCCTGTGTCAATCTTGCCTCGATCTAAACTTAAGCAGTGTTGATACTCATGGAAGTCGCACCATAAAGCTATGAGTTCGGTTCCAGCTCATGCTGAAAGGGCGACAACCTGAAGAAACATGGAGGTTATAACACCTTGACGATTGATAGAGATGCAAGATTTGCAGAAAACACTAGGTTGAGGTGGAGAGTAAGGTTTCGTGTAAATCTCGCGCCTTGCCAGGACTGCTGGGCAGGCTTGGGTGGCAACGGACCTGGAACAGCACTCTGTGACATCACTGGGCGCTCCACGGATCAGCAGAATCTCGACTCGAAATATGCTGAGGGAATGTGCTGAGTATCAGCACCTCAAGCTAGCCGAATATGCCGTGGTCTGCAACATCTGTCACAAGAATCCTCTTCACTGCTTTCACCTGCCTGTTTGCGTGTCTCCGTTTGCATAATCCCTGGGTGAGTGGCTTAGAGATTCAACAGAAAAATTGATTTGGGGTCCCGACTCACGCCTGTCCCGAGCACTGAGCCCGGAACGGATGGCATTGGCAACTTCTTCTCTTATCGTGGGAGTTGGCCTGAGAACAACGAAGTGCGAGCAGTCCTGCAGTATGAGAAAACGACGGCGCCATGACATGACAAAACCCGATGAGGGAAGAAATGCAGTGGTCAGGAGAAGAAACAAGCTCTGGAGCGCATTTGTTTCGGAAATGCTTTGGTAAGACACGACCCTCATGTGGCCCGCCTGCTTAGTTGCCCAGCACGGGCTTGGTGAAGCGCTGGGAATGCTGGTTCCCCCCCTAAATGGAATGCTCTATCGCGCAGACACTGTGAGCTTTGCTTGCTGGTGTGTCTGTGTGAGTGTGAGAGTCGAAATGCTCGAGTAGGTTCATCTTCGATGGTTCTGGCCATGTCTGGCATGGCTCCGGCGAATGCTTGGGAGTGACTCTTGTCTTAAGAGGCACTCTTGCCATGATCTGGTCGATGATGATAGGATATGTAACTGAAAGCGCGGGTTATGCCCGATGATGGTGCTGGTGACTCTGTTGTGATGGATACAGGATACATGAAAACACTGATGATGGTGCTGGTGACCGTGTTGATGATCTCCTCTCTCGGTAGAGACGAGCCCATTCACAAGCGAATAACGCTCCCATCTTTGACCACATTCATGCATGCATGGCTCCGTATGTGCCTTACAGGTGCAGTGTTCCTAATCCTTCGCAGGTCTTGTTGCTTGCTTGTGATGCTTCCTTTTGGCTTGACATCAAGTTGTGTGTTTGTCCTCTGTCTTCAGCTACTGTCTGTGCGTACTGCTTAGTCCTTGTTCTTTTGGTTCGGAACTGCCTGCCATGTGTCACGGCGTATAGAAGATTCACTTGTCATGGCCCTTCACCTGTCGGCTTTGAGGGATTTCACGATATGGTGCTGTGAGTGACAAAACTTTGATAGGGCTTTGGCAACAGGTTTTGCAGCGGATTTCCCGGTGTTGCTGCATGCAAGCTGTGAGCCCGTAGGCCCCTGTCAAGTCTAAAGAGCTATAGATTGTATGCTTCAGGCCCTGTGCAGGTCTGCTGCGCTAGAGTGCTGACTCCCGTGAATGTATTACTGTCTTGAATAGGAGTTGACCCAGACCAAATTATGAATGAACCAAGAGCTGAGCTGCAGGGCCCAAGCAGAGGTAAGCCATTCGCCAAGACCTCCCTGCACGGAACCGAACCTGCCGGATGTCAGGAGCCAGGAAGCCCTGAGTCAGGCACAAGATAGCTCTTGCAAAACAGCTGGAAGGTGTCGCTCAGAAATCGTCGAGATGAGCGATTGCGTACCAAAGCGAATGGAGCCATTTAGAGACGATTCTGCTTGTGTGTAACTATGTAAGGATGTATGTATCTAATTATGTCAGCAAGTCTGTCTGTCTGCCTGCCTGACCTTCTGCCTTTCTGTCTGTCTTTGTCTGTCTGTATGTCTGCATGCCTGCATGTCCGTATGTATGTGTGCGTGTATGAAGATAGCGCACATCTGCATGCAAGTATGTTAGTGTGTATACGAAGACATGCCAACACATCGACACCGACAGCCCACACACTTCAGCAAGTACATGGCCAGAAGGCCACCAGCCTCGGGGGTAGGCTTATGGTTTGCGCAGTTGCGGTTACATCTCTGCTATCTGCCAGTGGGCTCATAAACCGTAAACCCCTAAGCCGCTAAACCCCTCAACCCCTAAATCCTCAACCCTAAACTTAAGCCGCAACGCCGAGGAAGGAAGGCCACCAGCTGAAGAAGGGTCAATGCTCCAGGGCCGAGATGCCCGAGCTGCAATACAGAGGGTTTAGGGTTTAGGGTTGTTTTGAAGGAACTATAAGGAGTTCAGTGACGTTGCAAGCCAATTCCAACAGGGGTGAGCACTGGAAACCCTGGCATGGAAGATGCGATGTGCCGTAAATAGGGAGTGTTTCAGACACGGACAATAAGACAAGATTTTGTTGTCACTGCATTCCGTAACCCCTTGGACCACAATGCTCCCTAAACCTCACTCCCCACAACATCTCTTACAAACCCCAAACACTGAAGCACAGGCAGTGGGAGATGATCGATGGCTTCGAGCCCATGGAGACGAAGCTATACAAGCAAGCAGTGGTCAAGCAGCCCGTAGCAAATCAGGAGCTTTAGAGTTTTAGCGGTTGAGGTTTTAGGAAAAGGGCAGGGTATAGGTTCCGGGGTTTAGGGTAGGAGTGTCAGAAAATAGCAGTCGCGGTCCCGAATACAATGTGTTTTGTTGTTTGGAACGACCCTGGTGGTCTGGTACCCTAGTTTGCGAAAACTCCTGTGCACTGCAAGGGTGGGAAGTTCGGACTCTAGACTACGTGCAATTTGGGCTCCATGCTGTCCCGAAGAATCACATTTCCTCCAACCTCACATCATCGCCGAAAGCATCCGTCCCTCGATCTCGAGGCTCAACTGCTGAAGCACCCAAGCCTGAACTCACTGTCTTCGCCTTTTCTGCAGGTACTCTCTCTCCGAAGATGCGCCAGACCATTGATGGATCAGCAAAAGTGCAGTGAGCTCTTCAGCAATGGAGTGCGCAGCATCTGAGAGAGAACACGGGCAGGATTCGGGCTCACATCTAGACTGGGATAAGCTGAGAGGTGAGTGTCCTGCTGCTTACTGCAGTTGCATCTTTCGAACTTCAAGCTCGAGGAAGAGAACGCGCAACGACTAATGTTAATATCAGCATCATGTGTATTGTTGATACAGGTATTGCTATTCGTCTTTCGTGTTTATCCTTCCTACTGCCGTCGTTAGTATGATTGGTATTCTTCTTGTCACAAGTATTCTGAAATATGATGTTTGTAATGGCACGATCACTATTGTCAGATTCTCCCCACAGCCGTTTGCAAGTCAGCAGGGGCCGGACATGTGCAAGCCAATTCTGAAAGCAAGTGTGCGAGGACCAGGTTCAGCACGCAATCAAGTTCAACTCTGCCACGTAGCACCATTATTCAGTTCTTAGCTAGCGGCTCCCTTGCATCCGCCGGGTGAGTATGTCATCTGAGCTGCAGGCAAGCTTCTGAAATTTGTGCGACAGATTCTGACAATCTAGTGAGGCTGAAATGAGTGGTGCGGGAGTTGTACCGACCCAGGCCGAAAACATCAGGAGCTGATAAGTGCCGTGCCAGTTGCTGTTACAACAGACGCCAAAGTCCCCGATCACTTCAGGGATCTCGCAAGTTTCGGGTTTTGCCGAATGCCTGGGAGGGGGAGAGAGACAGAGAGAGAGAGAGAGGGGGGTGAGTAATGTTAAGGTTCTGAGTTCTAGGTGGGGTTTAGGTGAAAAAGCTGGTCCTGTCGCCAGGGCCATCGGGACGAGTTTTTGTCGGATGGTGCAACAGCTATCATGATCAGGTGGCCTGGCACAGGCTAGATATTCCAGCTTGGTTGCGGCGGAGCATGGCGGGGCTTCATTTGGTCGCTTGCAATTTCCATTGGTTGGGAAAGATGTACTGACAGTGGCGAGGTCAGTAATTTTGGCCAGTAACCGTGAAAGCCATCGCAAGCAAGCCGACGAAAAGCAAGGAATGCAACGGATGTTGCATGCCCTCATGAGCATGGCAGCCTCAGGCGCTTGCCATCCAAGCTGACGGTAGACACCTTCCTCAGCATCTTGGATGCGAACTGGCCAGGCCGGGCCCAAAACAGGTCTAAGATCTGGTCGACGGGGCATGCCAACTACACTTGTAGCAGCTGCCAGCTGGCAAACGGTGACATGATTCATGCTGCGGGCCCGGCGAAAAGCGTGCTTAATGACTACCGGGAAGACAGTGGGATCTAGACCACCACTGCGTCGCCAAATCCAGTGCTATGAAGTTTGATTGTTTCTGTTGATGACGAGGAGGTGACGGGTGGCCGCTGTTAAAATGTGCTTCTACTGCATCTACGTGTTGTTGACGTGGTGAAGTCTGTACCGCTTACAGCTATCAGCCGTAGTCACCGTTCACCATAGTACAACTAGCAGTGGTGGAAAGAGTCGTAGTAGTAGTAGTAGCAGTAGTAGTAGTAGTAGCAGTAGTAGCAATAGTAGTAGCAATAGTTCGTCGTTGGTAGTAGTAGTTGGTAGTAGTAGTAGTAGTAGTAGTAGTAGGTAGCAGTAGCAGTAGCAGTAGCAGTAGCAGTAGCAGCCGCATCTCTACTACTCCCCTACCAGTCACAACCGCTACAACTACCCGGGTCACTGCCAACTGCCACTAAACTACTACTACTGCTACTGCTACCACCTACTACTACTACCAACTACTACTATTACTACTACTACTACTACTACTACTACTACTACTACTACTACTACGACTACGACTACGACTACGACTACGACTACGACGACGACTACTACTACTACTACTACCACTAATACTGCCATTGCTTCTGCCACTGTTACTGATGCTGCTAATGCTTCTTCTCTTGTTACTGCTTTCACTGCTACTATACTACTACTACTACTACTACCACAACAACTACTACTACTTCTCCTACTACTACTAATACTACTACTGCCACTACTACTACCACGACTACGACTACTACTACTACTGCTACGACGCCTATCCCACATTGTTTAGGCAATGATACGGATAAAGAATATCAAGTAGCCTTCATTGGGAAGAATCTTTCCCGACAATGAATCACCATACACAGCGGCCGTCATCCCTGACGCAATAGGCATAAATGAGATGAAAGCCTCCAGGTCCAAAAGAGCATGGGTTGAGATTCTAAGGGTTGCTGATCGTCAAACATGACGATTGTTGTGCGGCCTCCATGAGACATCCCCAACTCGAAATCCTGCGTTGCAACCTTGGTCATGAAACCCTGTCTAGCTGTCCTCGTGTCCAAATGCGACGCTTGTCATGCCAGCAGGCTGCTACGACTTCGTGTATCTCCCGCACGACAAGGCGAAGGAAAGGAATGTGGCCTTCGCTTTCGTCAACTTCACAGTTCATGCAGTGGCACAGCTGCTTTGCTCGGTATTTCTTTCTGCGACGAGAGCTGTTTGCCAAGTGGTTTGGGTTTCGTCATGGTGAGTCTGGGGCACACGAACGTAAATAGTCATGGGTTTGAAAATAGCCCCGCTACAACCATACGCCTCCTTACACATGTACACAAGCCCATGCGATTCCCTGTGAGTGTGCGAGGATACTGAAAGAAGGGTTTGCTCGTCGAGTCCATCGTATGCCAAGGGCGCACCCTTCGTGACAGGCGTCGCAGCACGCTTCTGCACGTCTGCAGATATCGCATAAGGCTCCCACTGTGTCTGTGTCGAGTGACGGCCTGCCGTCCCACCCAAGGACTGCCTACGCGTACTTTCGGGGGCGCTTGAAGCAGATGGACAGCCGGCTGGGAAGTAACATTCGCGTCTGCCAGGCAACGATTTGGGAAGGTTGGAGGGTGCAAATACTGCCAGGGCTGTTGTCAACAGGTCTGTCCCTGAACAATTTAATTCTTTTTCAGAGTAGCCACATCCCTCAAAATCTAGGACCCGGAGCTTCATCTTGGTGGTGCTGCGAGGGGGTGCTAAGTGTGTACACCGAGGCCTGTCATGGCTCTGCATGCAATGGCTCGGCACAGACCCGACGACTGTACTGTCTGCATTGCACAGCACTGGGAGCCGTCAAAAACTCATCATGACTTGAACTGATACCCACATGAATGTGTTTGGCCACTGGACCCTGAACCCTGTTGTGGGCCGGTGGTCAGATGGCAGACTATTGCCACTACGACTTTGGAAGTAACATTCACAACCCAATCTTCGTGACCGAGTTCTTGCTCGATCTATCTACTTGTATCTGGTTTGTCTATCTGCCTGTCGATCTATCTATCTACATATCTATCTATCTACCTTTATAACAGTGTATATATATATATATATATGGTCACCCCCCCCCGTTGACAGACCATGCCCTTTCAACTCAGTCGTAGTGCATGGTCTGTGATCGGGGGGAGGGGGCACTCAGCTTTCAAAAACTCAATTCCAAAATTTCCAAAATTCTCTCCCCTAAGTTTCAGGGTTCCAAAATTTCCGAAAATTCCAAAATTTCCAAAAAGTCCGCCCTTATGTTTTGGAAAAGTCCTGTCGACTAGGTCGGGAAATTTTCGAAATTTTGGAACTTGTGGAATTGATTTTCAATGGGCTGGTTGTGACCCATCGGATGACAGACCATGCACTACGACTTACTTGCAAAGGCAAGGTCTGTTTATACGATTGTCAGTGTTTATATATATATATATATATGTATGTATTTCGTTTTTTTAAATTGGTACTCCTACGAATACTATTACCAATACTAATACTGACATTGATCATTTGCTGACTGCTCAAGCTAATACCAGCATTAACACTAATATTTGCACTTTTTTAAGCCAATACGAATAGGCACCATACAAATACTAATAATGATTAAAACTGACGTTCATACTCCTACGCATATCAATAATTATGCCCATATTGGTAGTAGTGTATTTTAATACCAATACTAATACACACCTGCATATACCAATGTACATAAATATACATACCACTATATTAAAGTACAAATACATTAGCTCATGCATGTATTTATCTGTAAGTATTTTCATGTAATCAGGAGTAAAACTAATATAAGACAAACGTTCATGCGAATACATAACCTCATTTTAATATTAGCACTAGCACTAGCACTATTACTAATACCAATCACACTGTTTATACCAACACCAAGATTTACATCAGTATTGATACTCCTACGGATACTACTACGTACACTCTTATGCTGTTAACAGTAATGCTGTCACCAATACTGATACTGACATTGATAACTTGTTGAATATTCAAGATAATGCCAGTATTAATACCATTATTAACACTTCTACTAAGGCTATTGCGACTATGGATAATCCTAATACGAATATTAACATTAATATACTCCTACGAATACCAATAGTCATATTCATATTGATGTGAAGACTAATACCATTACAAAAGACACGTGCATATGCTAATGCACACCAGGACACATACCATTATCTTAAAATGTCGATATGTATCAATGCATTCATGTACTGATGTTTTAGGACAAACATATACCCATGTACCAATGTAACAATACACTACTTGTTAATGTGTGAACCTACTATACTAGTACGCTATTATACGTGTATGCTACTATACTAGTATACGACTACTGTAGTATGCAAGTATACCGACATGGCAGGTTAGTGTACTAATATGACAACATACTGATATACTTATAAATCTTTGGACAATACACGTATATTGCATATACTAGTATACTATTACACTAATGTACGAATATACTGGTATGGTAATATACTAATATATTAATACATCAATATACTAGTTTACTCATGCATCAGTTGTACTAAAGTATTAAATCTACAAATATGCAAGTATACAAATATGCTGCCTCTCGAACACATCAATGTATTGATATACTAACCTGCTGATATACGAAACTATCAGAATAGTAACATACCGAAACCAGCTCTAATTTT